CAAAACAGGCTGTCTTCCCTCCAAACGCAAAGCCAAGGAAAAGGAGCAGGGTGTCCACGGCCACCAACTTACTCAGCACAGCACCCACTGACTCGCGGCCTGTGACTGCCAAGTGAGGACACAGGACTCTCCTCTTCCAAATGAACTGGCGATAAGGTGCTGGATAGTGGTGGCAAGAGCCTGGAGAGCAAACGGAAGGGGAAGCTCTACACTCTGCCGGCTCCACTGGAAGTCGGGCTGCTCCTGTGCACAGCAGGGCTCGGGGCTGTGGTGCGGGATCGTGGGTGTTTCTCAGGCACTTGGGGTGAGAAGAGGCCAGGGCTCGTCTCGCTCCATCCTAACGCACCAAATGCTCTTGGACCTGCCCTCCCCTCTGAAGGGCTCACTTCCTCCCCTGGGATCCAGGCAGCGGGCGCCGTCGAAGCTACCGCCTCAAAGCATACTGCGTGCTGCGGTTCGGGGTAAAAGCTCTGCTGAGATTTTCTCCTGTTATTCATCTGCTGAAGAGCTCCATGTCAAATAGAACTTAAATTCAATCAAGTATTATTTACTCTGCCTGTACCAAAGTGACCGCCTGGGCTGCTTCCTTCCCCCTTTAACATGCTAATCAGGTGAATTCTGCACATGGGTGTCCAACGTGAAACCAGCCTCCCATTGCTGAGATTAACTGAACCTGACCATGATGCATTTAAGTTATTTACAAGTGGACAGAGTATGTGGATAGTGTTTTGTTTATGAATTGTACTTTTACTTTCACAAATGTAACTGTTTGGGGAGGCTGGTTTTTAGTGTCATAGTTACCTGAGAATCATAAAATGGGTTGAAGGATATTCCTTGTTTTTTCTAACACCAGGAATAATAAATATCGGGGTGTGCACAAGATCGACAAAATACCGTAAGGCAGTAATGGTACACTGTCCAGAGACCAAGTGTCCAAACCGCAACCCCGAGCCCACTTAGGGGTCGCCAAGCGCCAACACTGCACCCCTGTGCGCTGTTCCTAGATGCTTGGCTGCGGGGCGACGCTGGGGCAAGCAGCTCCTGCTGACAGGACGGGCCCCGCGTGCCCACTGTGGCCCATGTGCCCTGGGGTCCCACCGCTGCTCGAAGGGTCCGGGGAGCGCACCTGCAAAACTGCTTTGGCACAGCTTCGGCCCAGGGGAATATTTTAGCATCTGAACCAACTTCATTCATGGTATTAGCACTATGCCAACTTTCTTCTCCGAGTTAATATTTGTGATTTATACTGTTCTAGAAATTACTTCATTTTCAGATTCATCTACACAAAGCTGTTCATTATATACTCTTAGTTTTAAAAACTCTGTTGCAGCAATTGTTACATTACTTTTTTAAACTTTAGGTATTTGTTGCTTTTTTTTTCCTCAATAGTGTTTCAAAGAATTGTACATTTTATTAAGGCTTATTTCACCCAAATCTGAGACTTTTACTGTATTGATTTTCTACAGTTTCATTTTTCATTTTATTTGGGCTGTTTTCTTTCCTTCTGCTTCCTAAGGGCCATTTGTTATTTCCCCTCTAATATCATATTTTATATATTAATCATGGGAGTTTCTTCCTTATCCAAGTTTAGGAATCAAATTTCCCTCTAAAAAACGTAATATATGTGTATATACACAGGATGGCTTGGATAGTTGTACTCCTGATTTCTGCTGGTCCATTGAAAGGAGCAGTTAATGCTTAAATTTTCTTTTATCTCTCCTCTTTAATTTTTTATATATATTATTGACCAATTCAGCGTGCTCATCTATGGTAATCTGCACAACTAATTTGAGGACAGCAATATGCAGTATAAGAACCACTGTTGAATTGCTATCATTTGTTTAGCGAAATCCTGCACCACTTCTAACATTTTCTATGACTATTTTGTATTCTCTTACAAAAACAAACTTCCCTCTAAGAATTGCTTTAGCTGAACTTCACGTATTGTGAGATACTAGAGGCATATTTTCTGCTTTATATACTTTAAAATTTCTATTATTCCTTTGACCTATATATTATTCACAAGTATGTCTTAAAATTTTTCAAAGTATGCATTTTTTGTAATTCTCTGCACAAAACTGATTTAAAATTAATTGGTATTTGTCAAATGGTAGACACAATGATACCCCACAGCCAGTTATTTCTAGCCACTCCAGTATGTGGCACAGCAACGCCCTCGCGACATGCTGGCTGGAGGGTTCTATAACTGCATGTTAAAAATTTATTTTATGCAATGCTCAGTTGATTTGCACCTTGTGTTTCATTTGCCCAACAAATCACACTAAATCACGGACACCGAAATTTCTTACTCTGTTGATGGGTTTACTGATAGTTCCTTATTCTATCAGTTTTTCTCTTTGTTATTATGAGTTATTTTTTTAAAGCACATGGAAAATTCAGAGTCACTATATGCTCCAGGTATGATTCAAAAATAATTTTTGTATTATCTTCAATTTACGTAATAATTTCATAAGCCACGACTGTAAGTCCCGGGCCCGGAAGTCAGCTCTCTGAAGTCTTCCATCGAGGATCTTCATCCATTATTAGCCTTCCGCTTCTCCCACACAGAGGCCCTCGGTGTGCTCTGTGCTTCCCCTTGGAACAGCTCACAGCTGGCTGACCTGCAGAGATCCTGCAGCTCCTCAGCGGGAATGCTCCTCTCTAGGGGCCATTTGCCTTGGGACCAGGACCACCCGGAGCCACTGTGACTTACAAGCGGGCTGAGCCACAGGGCCCTTTGATAGCTAATCCCAGGGAGGGCGTCCCCACACTGGAGCAAGCTGGGAGAGGCAGGCTGTGTCGCAGGGCTTCCAGGCCCAGCCCTCACTGTGTGTTCCCCCTTTCGGGACACCCATGGCTTTACCTCCTCCCCTGTCCCGCCTTCTGCCTCCCACAGGTTCATTTGTTGTTCCTTCCCTCTAATATTTCACTCCATCTCCGTGAGCCCTGCTGCCCCATGGCACAACGTACTTCTGATTTGCTGTCACTGCCCTGAGAGTTCTGACTCCGGAACGCTCTGCCCCTCGGGCATTCTCTAGTCCCCGGGAGCTCACAAAGCCTAAAAAGCTTTTTACTTCTGCAGCACCTGAGTATTGCTTTGTACTGAAGCCCCAACAATGACCCCACTTTTATGCTCTCTTAGTCCTTTCCTTGTTGCTGGGACAAAACAGCCGACACTCACACCTTAAAGGGAGACGGGGTTCTTCTGGCTCACATTTTGTAAGCTCTAGTCCTTGGGTGCTCTGCCAGCTCCCAGCAGGGGCAGCACGCTGGCGGAGTCTGGAGGAAGACAGCTGCTCGGGTCAGGGCGCACAGGAAACAGAATGAAGACAGGAGCGGGGGAGGGAGCAGGAGCCGCCCAGGCCACACCTGGCGACCGCCTCTTCCCACTGGCTCCACTTCCTGAAACACACTCAGCTATGAATGTAGCAGTAGACCAACACACCAGTGATCACAGTGCCCTGTGGCCGAACCCCCTCCCCAAATCCCTGCCTCTAAGTGCCAAGGGCTCGGAGGGGACATCTGGAGATAAACCACAATACACGCTGTGCTTAAAACGGTCGTCATGCTGCAGGGGACAGAAGGTTTGCCAAAAACTAGTGGTGGACTCTTCAGTCTACTGTGATTTGCTGCTTTTAAAAGAAATTATGGAGGGCTGGTAAGATAGCTCAGCAGACTAAGCACCTGCTTAGGCAAGTGCAGGGACAGGGGTTCCATCCCCAGTACCACATGTCACGCTAGCCCCACCCCCGGGGCACACTGAGCTGGCCACTAAGTCTGGGAGTGGTGGCGCATTCCTGTAATCTCAACACGGAGGAGGTCGGAAACTGGAGGATCACTACGAGTCCGAGCTGCGTAGTGAGACCTTGTACCAAATACATTAAAAAAAAAGAAAAGAAAAAAGAAAAAGAAATAATGGGAACCTATGCTGGTAAACTCAACAGGGATGTCCCCTGAACATGACAGAGTATGTCAGGTCAGAAATAGCTCCAGCTTCCGGCTCCTTTCAGTTAGGAACCAGGCGGTCTGGGCCTCGAGTTCCTACCTAAGGGATGGGCATCGCTGGGCCTGGCTCAGCACCACTCCGCAGCCAACACCGTGTATGGCTAAGGGCGCAACTACCAAATAGAACCGTACTTATTGTCTTAAATAATAATCTTAAGAAGGGTAAATAAAAATTACCAAGGCTTACATAAGATCATTTTCCCTCCCTGCAAAAGCTGCTGTTATTGTTATTTTATTATTATCACTTGTGCGGTACTAGGAACTGGACCCAGGGCCTTCACACTGAGGTACATCTCCAGCCTTGTTATTTTTTTTATCTTGAGACAAGGTTTCACTAAATTGCTGAAAGACAGAACGCAGGCTTGCAATGGAGATCCTCCCGTCTCAGCTTCTGAGAGCACTGGGACGGGCATGCACCACTAAGCCCTGCTTGTGAGTAACCATTACAATACCAGGCGATACACACAGTTCTAAAGTCTACACATAAAAGGCCTAAACTTAGCCATCAAAACAGTCACCGCCATGGCTTTTGTTCCATGGATATCTCTCTCGTAACGTGAAAAGGTGCAGCACACAGAGACGCTGACAGTCACATGTCTACCCATAAATAACGCACGACCGCACTTCTGATGCCCCTGGAAGAAGGCGGCACCACGGCTTGTCAGGGCGCCACTAAAGCAACAACAGCACCAAAGGAAAGTCTCAGACATGAGCCCCGCCCGGAAGGCACATGGGATTTTAGAGATGCAAAAATCCCAAGGGGCAGCCTCTCCGAAGCGGGGAACCCAAGCTGTTTTGGGTAAAGAGCTTGCACAGGGCTCTCATTAAAGTCACCTCGCTCTGTCCTGTCCCCAGCCCTGCAGCACGGACAGGTGCGCAATCACAGCCTGTCTGGAGTGCTGGGACCAGCTGATGTTCACTGCACGTGGAGCCCGCACCTGAAGCACCCAAGGGTGCTGGTGGCTTCCTCTCCCTTTCCCCAGGCCCGCGCTCACCGGGCCGTGGGACTCCAGGATCCGGCTGCAGGCCAGCTTGGTCAGGGCCTCAGACTCGCTCAGCTCCTCCAGAAGCAGGTCCTGCAGGCTGAGCAGAGCAGTGTAGGCTGATAAGGTCTCTATGGAGCGGGCCGCCTTCTGGAACTGCAGAGCAACCAGCGACTCCGCAAAGCGAGCTTCCTGGGCCTCCAACCGCTGCACCCTCTCCCGCAGCAGCTCTCCACGCACCTGGAGGGGGCAGAGCCACAGAGAGGCAGTGAGGGATCGGAGGAGGGGCAGCAGGCTTTCACAGAGCCCCAGGCAGGGGCTGAGCGCCAACTGGGGAGGAGACAAAGCAAGGACAAGCAAGCAACAGGAAGCCATGGGGGCAAGAACCAAGAAACCAGACAGGGCAAGGACGACTGTGTCAGAACACGAGAAAACCACAGATGAGGCTCGCTTTGCCCCCCCCCCCCAAGGTCCCCCCAGCATGCAGAAACCAAAAGTACTCAGCCCTGGCCTGTCTCCAACCTCATTTGCATTGCAGTTTTGACACCACCACCCCTCGTGAGCTTTGGATGCCAGGACATGTCCTTTATAGACCTTGTACTGTCAAAAGCCCCCCCATGGGTGGGGCAGGCCAGGTACCCACTCAGCCATGAGGCCTGTCAATCCCCAGCATTAGGCCCTCCCATGGCCCCAGGACCTGAAGAGACAGAGTACCTGGTCCTGGGGGCCCTGAGCTCTTTTAACCTGCTCACTGCCATCTTGAGGCGTGGACCTCAGCTGCTTCTACTTTTAGTACAATATTACGCTTGCTACTCCAAGAGCCCTGCTCAGTTCTTTGTTTGGGACACTACGAACCTCAAAACAACTCCCCCAAGCCTCCTCCTCCTGCTAACACTTGGTCTGGTGAGCCAGCCAGGGGGGTGAGCAGGCCGGCATGTTATTGCCTCAGACTTAATTATCCAGTTTCACTCTGACAGGCGTGGAGCAGAGAGGCATGTGACAATAGGGCAACTGCTGCTTAAAAACTGTGACTAGATAACTCGGTCATGGGAAGGGGGTGACAGGTCTGGCGGGCTCAAGACACTTCCTACACGTCGCCAGCTTGATCCTTTATGCTCCTACAACAAGACGATAAAATGTGCTTGTTGTGTATTTTCTCACAACCTAAATGTGTTGCCCTGGTTTCTTCTAAATTTTGGGAATCTTAGCTACATCCATTGCATACAAAAACCTTTCACAGATCTCTCTCCCTTATAGGAGTCTACATCCTTGGTCACTTCTGGCAAGTCACATCTCTTTCTGTCACTCAAGCTCTTCTCCTTCTCTCACTCCCACCCACCGAATTGCCCTTCTATCTTCCCAGACATCACGAAAACTGGTACTTTTAGACAGAAGTTCTGGCTTTCATTTCTGCAACCCCATTAAGCCACAAAGCTGGATGTCAGATGGAAAAATGGCCCTTGGACACTACAGCCTGTATCAGGTCCTAGTAAGTGACAAAGCTGGGACTGACCTCTCTCCAGAGACTCCAGGGGAGGTAACCACCCCTCTAGCACCTACAAGTAGACACACAAGGGCCGCTTAGTCAACTTCCTTTTGGATTCCTATCTAAATTGGTATTTTGGTCTAAATGGGATGTTCAAAACATTTCCTATGCATTAGGATTGTTCTTAAACTGCAATTACAGGGCTAATTCGCTCTTCGTTCTGTTTTCTGTTTGAACCAACACAATTTTGCTCTTCAAGGGTCCCTTGGAAGCCTGTTGTTCAGCCAATCCTAATTAGAATGTAAACATGTTTGAACCGAGTTCAAAGGGTGAAAAGATGCACCAAAAGCATTTAAAAATTCAAGCAGCTACCAGATGTGCTGTGCAAGGGAAGCGATGGGTAGCACAGAGGAGATGCAAACCCACTTATGTGGATGAAGACACATTTTTAGTATGACAGGATTTTACATGGCACGACATCGCCTGACCAGGATGGCAAAAACAGAAAAGATAAGGACAAAACTGGGAAGACTGAGTAGATGGAGAGAGTTTTGTGGGGGATAAAGACTGGAAAAGGACATTTGCATGCTTCATTCTTCTGGGTTTCATCAGCGTGGGCTGTCCCTCTAACCCTCCTTGTTGCTCTGATGTGACCGAGGAGCCCCGACACCAACTTAGTCATCAATTACGTCCTGCAGTGTGGGGCCAGATAAGATCAGCAGCCGAGCAGAGTCCCAGCGAGGGAGGGCAGCAGACACAGGAGCGGGCCAGCGAGGACGTCAGAGAAACTCTCACAAGGACACAACAGAATGGTGTGGGTCCTGAGTGCCACCTGGGTCACCCTACGGAAGGTAACTACGACAGGAAGGCTGTAAAGGAGGAGTTCTGTGCACAGGGGGTTATTATCCCGAGAATAATTACGACAAAGCACTCCACCAAAATAGTGTTTGTCCTAAATCAATTTAAAACTAATTTAACAAATTTGTTGCTAGAAAATCCAGACTCTGACGTCATTACAGTTGAAGAAGACCGCACTTATGCTAAGGGGAGCAGAGCGCTGGACCAAGCCCAAGTGCCAGTCAGAGACTCCCTCACGTACACAGACTGTAAAGGCAGTGCGTACAGCCAGGTGATCAGGGGTCCCACAGAACCGTCTGCCCACACGGATAAGTCACAAACAGCACACTATGAGGCCCTTTCACGTTCTGGTGCAGAAGCAGGGTGGCCCACGGAGCATGGCTGGGGGTCACAAAGCGCTCCCTGAGGTGCTGCCCACCCACTTGTGTTCACGCCTCTACTGCTCTCCTGACTGAACCATAATGTGAGCCCATCACACAGACGCTTCCTGCAGCTGCTGAGTACCAGGACCGGGGTGCATTCACCTGCAGCAAGCAGCCATGGGCTTTCCAAGTGCTCTTCCAGCTGCCCACACGGTGCCACCATTTGCCACAGGACAGAGCCCCCAGACCATGAGTAGGGTCCTGCCCAGCTCGCTGCTAAAATGTTCCATTACGCATCATGCTAACCTCTGAATGTTATACAGATTTAAGAAAACACCAGGAGGAAGCCCAAGGCCACCTGAGGAGTGCACAGGGTGCGGGTGCCACCACATCACCAGAGAAGCCTGGTAGGACACTCGGGCTTTTGCGGGGACACCTCAGAGCTCAGTGGGGCTCCGGCCTCCTGCTAGGTCCTCTCAGGAGGACCTAGGCCTAGCCTTCTGTCTCTTCAGACACCATGCAGAGCATCCTGCTGACACTTCCAACTCACCATAGCCAGTGGCCTTAACAGTGAAAAGCAATCTGACCCCAATGGCCTGAGCAAGAACTATTTCCTACGGCAAAATGGCCCAGCCCTGCATGAACTAGGTGATGGGAAACAATGGCTGAAAGCAAGCAGCCCAAATCCTAACGCCATTATTCAGCTAGATCTCTTGCAAAAGGCAAGGAAATGGTCAGAAGTCCCCTATGTTAGGGCTTTTATGGCCCTCTATTGAAACCACCACTTTGCCAAGGCCCAAGAGATCTCACCCCCAGACAAGCTTCCAAGCCAGAGACTGACTCTGCTGATGACCCCTGCTTTACCCCACCACATGTCATTCACGGAGACCAAAAGGGATGCTCTTGACCTCCTCCTCATAAACCTCAGGCAGTGCCCTGGCATCGCCCCTGCAGTGACTCAGCAACCCCAGCCTCAGCCAGCTCTCGCGAGAGGCCAGGACTCCTCAGCCCCCTCGGGGGGACCCCAGGCCACATGCTGTGGAGCATTCAGAGTGGAGCTTCTTACTCTTTCAAGACACAACTTCCCTTCTCTAACAGCAGCCAAGGATCATACACAACCACCAACAGGCCACCCATAGGGTTCCCATAGGCATCACTGCCGTTGCACCTGTGAACCTTGCCTACTGAGCAAACTTCTACAAAGCCTTTCGCCCACGCTGCACACAGTGCTCCATTGCAGGCTCCCGACGTGCAACAAATGCCACCTACGAAGGAAGCAGCAGCCCTGGGATCCAAGCCGAGGCTCATCAAGCTCCCACTCCATGCTCTATCCCCCTGACATGGGCACACAGGCCCTCTGCAGTGGGCCAACGGGAGCCAGGGCCCTGTTTGGGACACCTGCCTGTCCCCAAGATGTCAGGGACCCCCACTGCCCTGCTCCTAGCACTCCCACTGACCGAGGCCACCCAGAAAGCCTGAACACTACACACCATGCCTGTGCATGGAGCCACTTAGCAGACCAGGGGGATCACAAATGCACGCCAGAGCCCAGCTGGAACCAACAGCCAAACAGTCCAGTCAAGCTCAGCTCAAAATCCTGAGCACAGAGACACGAGCCAAACTAGTATTTGGTTTAAGCCCTGTCCTTCCTGCATCTCAGAGAGGTTTGCTTGGCAGCCAACAGGAGCTGGTGCTCAGCTACAGTGCCCTGCATCCAGCCGTGTGTGGCAAACGCCACCAGAGCCCAGCACTGAGGCAAGGGGAGCCCTTCCTTGCTACCACACCCTCGCATAAACCTCTGCTTAGGAGGAATTTCTCAGCAGTGTTTGGAAAACCGCCCACTTGTCTGACCAGCAAAGGTCAGGTCCTTCTCACTGGCTTGAAAGACTCCCACTGCCCTGCCCGCTGGCTGGCTCTGCCCACGGAGCTGAGGCCACAGCTGGTGGCTCCTGAGAAGGCCACAAAGCCCTCATGGGTTGAGAGAGATGCTCTAAGCAGTGGGCTTTTCTCTACACGCTGGCTGAACACAACTAAAGCCTGGCGCCTCTCCTGCCAGAGGGCCCCTTTCAGCCTTGAGCGGCGAGATTGATTTTTTTGGTTCCCCTAAGAAGCTAAGAAACCACAATGACCCATAATGATGGACCCAATTCCCACACTCTGTGGTCTGCCATATCTGTCTCTGCATCACAGGATGGGGGACACAGCAGGCGCTCAACAAGTGGGGATGTCAGCAAAGTCGCAGCTGCGGAGCCAGTTTCCTGAGGGCAGCAGTTACAACATTTCTACCCTGAAGAACTTTAAAGAGAAGTATGAGACCAATAAGTATGGGATAGCCCAGTGCAGGGCGGCTGCTGGAACAGCACATACCTGCTATTATCTTTAATACTTCTAAGGCTGAGTCAGATGTTTCTGACTTCAAATGTAGCCCTTCTAGCTAATAACTCTGTGTTCTTCACAATTCTCTGTTCTGTTTCCTCTAATACACATGAGTGACCATATCTAATATGAAGAATGCTCTAGGGCTTAAAGAAAAT